GTTCGTTTATCTATACTGAATGTAAACATAGAACCACTGTTTGCGATAACTGAACAATATTTTTACTGTTAAGTGTGTTAAGTATTTATGATGCTAAAACAGTCAATATTTATCTGCTTGTAACCATTAATCATAAATTAATAATCTTGACTGATATTAATTAAAAATCCTGATTCTATTTCGATTTTTGGGTGATTGTTTACTCTGGCATAATCAGTTTGGATTAAAATATTTACTCGTGCATGTATTTTATTTAGTAGTTGACACCTGGCATTTCTGTGTAAACACGGTTTTTACCAAAAGCTCAGTTTTTTTTTGCAAAATTGTGCTAGAACAAAGCAAAAAGTCAACAAATTAGCACGTTTTTGAGCTAGTAATGCCATTTTTTCGCATTTTTTTTAAACAAGCCGAAAAATCACTGTCTGGCCCGAAAATGATGTCATTTTTACCTTTTTCGTGTAATTTAGCACATTTTTTTCAAGTAGAAACACAATTATTTTGAAATTGTGTTAACAACAAGCTAAATATTTAACACGAAAAATGGTTTTACTTTTGCAAAAATTAGGAAAAAATAAGGCGAGAAACCATAAAATTTAGTCGAAGTTTTTTTTAAACTCGGTGTTTACCAAAATTTCAGTTTTTTGCAAGATTTCACTAAAACAAACCAAATAATCAACGAATTAAGCTAAAAATTAGCACATTTTTCAACTAGAAACACAAATATTTCGCACAATTTCATTAAAAAATTCTACAAAATATGTTAAAAATTATGTTATTCTCGCGGTTTATGAGTGTTGAAGCACGTTTTGGAATGAAAAAATTACAAAATAATCGAGATTGATATTATTTTTTAACTTGTTTTGCTCGGCTTACTTCGTTTTTGAACCAGGGGCTAATTTATTTTGCAAAATCTTGTTCAAACAGGTCTAAAAGTCTGAAAAGGAATTGATAATGATGTTATCTTGTTTGGTTTCCTCAATGTAACTGGTTTTTGAGCAAAATTGACAGAAAAATAAGCCTTGAGACCAAAACATTTTGTCGACAATTCTTTTAAACACGTTTTTTTTTAATCAAGATCTCAGTTTTGTTAACAAAATCTACCTAGAACAAAGAAAAAAGTCAACAAATTAGCACATTTTTGAGCCAGAAATGCCATTTTTTGAAAGACAAAAAATCACTGAGTGGTCCGAATTAGCTAGCACATTTTTTTCAAGTAGAAACACAATTATTTTGAAATCTTGTTAACAACAAGTCAAATATTTAACACAGTGGGTTAAAAATGGTGTTACTTTTGTAAAAAAATCGAAATAACAAATAGGTAAAAAATAAAAAGTTTGGGAGAGATGGACCACATTTTGAAAAACTTACCGTAAAATTATGATCTTTATTTTAATTCAAACAAGACAAAATAATTATAAAAGTAACAAAACAAGTATTTTAAAAAAATTATATTTAATTTGTTTTGGGTCCGAAAAAAAAACTCAAGTGAATTGMCGACAAGCTGTAATAAAAACTCTCAAAGTCAAAACAATTTCGTACGTGTTAATCAGTGGTTTCTTTCACAAATTGTCTCCATTTCAACGTGAAATTCTTTTCGTATGGTTCGTTTATCTATACTGAATGTAAACATAGAACCACTGTTTGCGATAACTGAACAATATTTTTACTGTTAAGTGTGTTAAGTATTTATGATGCT